GGCTCCTCCCCAATCCGTCTCATACCCTGAGGTCAAGTGATTCTTATAAAACATAAAACTGATCATCTCATTTCCTTCCTTAAAACCTTTCAATGATTTCTCACTGCCCTTGAACTGAAGTCTACATTCTTTAAGATATTTTATAAGTTCTCTCTACCTCTCCAGCCTCTTCTCCCAGCATTATCCCCTCCCCAAACTATTCTGCAATAGAATTGCATCTTGTCCGTGCTCTCTAGTACTTGCTGTTCTCTATGTTTGGAACACTCTTCTGGACTCCCCTTCTCTTCTGGGTAACTCCTCCCCATCTTTCAGGTATCAGTTTAAACAGGACTCTGAGAAGCTTTTACACCTAGTAAGCAATCAATGTTTGTTATATGAATGACTGGATAGAAAGCCGTTTTTACATCTCAGTCAATTCAAAATGCATAAGTGCGCGCACACACACACACACACTCTCCCTCAAAATAGAGCGTGGCCAACAGGACTAAAAAATAACTACAAAACCCTGTACACTGCTTGCTCACACAGTGAGACGTGGGAATGCTTTAAGCCTTAATTTTTTCATGTGTAAGATGCAAATAATAAAATCTTATTTATATATTTCAATAAACAATACCCATTACATCTAAATCCTAATTCCCAAATAGGGATGCAGCCCTGGTTCTGCTCAGATGGATCAAGCCCATGACTGACACTACCCACCAGGTGGCAGTATTACCCTGGACTGGTCCTGTTCTGCTTCCACTGCAGAGCTAGACCAGCAGTCAGTCATAGGGGAAGCAAAAGACACAACTAGGGCTGCTTCCCCAGAGCTTTGAGCGAAACCTGAAAAAAACCAAAAACAAAAAAACTCAGAGACCAGAGCATATGTTGAGAAGGCCTCATGTTTCTTAGACCCATCCTCCTTTCCTCATCTCAGGCTCTTCTGAGGCACTGTTTATGCTTAGAAATAATCATTTTCTGGCTTGCCATTCACAACAGGGGAAGTTCACCCCTTTCCAGATAAGTCCTTTATCCAACCAGAGCTGCCAGTTTCTACTTCCAGTAGGGACTGTGTTAGGGAGAGAGGTTGACTTGCTTTCTCAGGCTGCAGAGGACATCTCATTATTCTAGGAAGCCCCAGAGCCACCCATTTCTGGGACATGGGTAGTGGCAGAAGCCAGACTTAATCTTGGTTATAGATTTCACTCATCCTTTTCCACCTTGATTTCAATGAATGAGTTCAAGTCAGGACAGCAAGTTTTGTGGGGCTGGTCAAAAGATGGGGAGACAGGTCCATTCTCATCACCTCCCTCATCTTCCTCTTCTTGGAAATTAGGATTATAAAGTTCTGGTGGAAGGAGCTGGGCCTCAGCAGAAGGTAATCGGTCTGAGGGAGGGCCATACACACGGTTGGCTTTAGTGCCATGCTTAGAGTTGGCATCCAGGTGGTAGCAGAGCTCTGTGAGGCGCTGGGCCCGGAAACGGGGAGGGCGGGCCACCCAGACACCTGGCTCATTAAGACTGTCCTCTTCATCTGACATCAGCTCTTCTGTCACATCCTTCCACAGACGTTGGTCCTCAGGTCCAAAATGCCTCATAATACTAGATCGGTTGGCAAAAAGCTATGGTAGGGGAGCAGGACAGAAATTAGGAAGAGGAACAAACTATTGATTAAATTTGGGGAGAGAGTTTGGGTGGGAGGAAGGCTGTGTAAAATCTTTGCCTGAGAGAACCCAGCCCCCAAGTCAAATCTTAGAACTGGCTCACCCTCCTCCTCCTCCATCTGCATATATTCCTGGCTTTCAACTCTATTTTCAGATGCTACAACCTCTGGCCCTTCCCACTGTAGCTTATTAGGGTTTAGAGTTTAGCATCTTGAAGGAAAGACCTAGAAACCTACCCGGTATCTACGACTTCGAAGTTTCTTTTCCTCTTTTTCCTTCAGGCCTTTAAAAGGGTTCAGGGAGTTGCGGTACTCACGTCTCTTAGTAAGGAAATAGGCTACACAGGCTCCTGGCAGGAGAGAAAGAAGAAAGGGAGCAAAGAGCAGTGGTCCGTAGCCCATTCTGCCCTAACATTACTGGATGGGAGGGTGAGAATCACTATTTAGAGGATGGTTTTTCCATCATCCATTGTTTTAGCTTTCCCTGCCCACCTTTATCTCCAACACTAACTCCTCCCATATCTCCCACTAGAAAAAGATGACTCCAGTGCTTCTGTAACTCTCTCCCCACAATCCCCAATTAAACTTACTCCCAATTCTGTTATGCTGATAGGAGATTACAAGTGCTTCTTCAGTGGAAGCTTGCTTGCTCACTCTCTTTCTTTTTTTGTAAAAAGTTGGCTTTATTTGTCACTTATTGACCTTATCTCAGTTATGCTATTTTGGCATCCATGGTGACAGTCTCTGGAAGCTAGGGTCAGCCCCCACACACTGTGGCCATTAACCACAGAGCGTGAGCCTAAGCCTCCCAGGGCCCCACTGATGGTTACAGGCTGCAGGCAAGGCTGCAGGGCTCCAGTCCATGAGCCTCGGGACTGCTTCCCTGCCTGCCAAAGGCAGCAGCATCCCCATGGGTGGGGCAGAGCAGACCAGGTTAGGGTGAGACTCAGGACTGGGTCTGACAAGGCCACCTGTGATATGGTGGTATGCCCTGGACTGGGGGTGGACAGACCCACCGGGCCTGTCCTGGTTCTGTGGCTGACTTGCTGGGTGGTTTTAAGCAAGTTGCTTCTTGTCCCTTGGTCGGTCTGTTTTGTGGTTAGCACTGCCAGTGAGGATGCCTAGGAGCTCTCCTGACTCAGACAAGTGTCAAGTTTGCCACCTCTACTGAATCGTGGCCATGGATCTCTCTCCAGCGGTAGCTTTCTTAATGCTTCAGGGTTAGCTACAAACAAATAACAGAAGAGCAAGGAAAGTAGAAAACCCAGGATGTAATACTTAGGAACAAAAAGGATTCTGATCTTTTCGTAACACCCTAGATTCAGATCCTAGGTAAACATCATGCATGATGGTGTTCTAGTGCTTTCCTTCTCCCATTTACATTTCAGACCGAGTATAGGAATAAGAAGGCAACTAGAGACAATTCTGTGCTAAAATATGTTTTTAAGTTCACTATTTTAAAAACCACCTAAATCATCTCCATTATGCCACTCCTCCTCTGACTAGGAATAGGATGGAGAAAGAATGAGACAGGAGTTAACTCAGTTTTTCTCACCTTTCAGCTCTTTATCAGTGTAATTGTGGGGACTGGTCACCAGCTCCTGCTTGAGTTTTTCCAGAAGGAACTTCACTACTGAAATATTCCAAGAGGACTTGATACTGCCACAAAGAGAAGAGAGTGAATAAAGCAGTCAGTATTTTTTAAACTAGACACAAATAGAGATTCTCAGCACTAATCGACTTTGTGGTAAATTCCTCCATGGCCTAAGACAGGATACAAGGGACACTGGTGAGATCAAAGCCTTAGCCTCATTGTTATATTAGAGCAGCCCCTTCTATTTCCCTCTCCTTGGCAAAGTACCTATGACTCTTTTCTCTTAAGAGGATCATACCTTTCAGACCCATTGAATCTCTTGTCATTGGTGATGTGGTTATGCACATTGTGGACCAATTTCTAGGGGAAAAAACAAAGATAGAATCAAGCCACGAGTGGATGTGATGAAACCCTTCTCTGGTCCCTAGACATTGTCCCTATGGGGTTCTCTGCCTAAATCCTTCCCATAGTTTGAGTTCCACGTCTGTCAATGCCCTTTCTTAGCCAGAGAGCCTATCCAAGTTAGTATTTCTAACGGGGCCCCTATCCCCCTTTTCATTTAATTTGTGTGAAGGCTCTAGGACCATCCCTGGTCTTACTTCCGCTCCTGAGGAATATGATCACTAAAGCAGAGGGCCTCAAACATTTCTGCAAACATAATCCCAATAGCAAGAGCGTGAACATACACCAAGGTTACTGCACATGGACATTTCTTGCAGCTCCCTACTCCTGCAAATTAAAAAATTTCTTCACAGTGTATCTGTATTTCTATTACTATAAAAATGTCTTCTAATACCTTCTAGTAAAGTTGATGACCCAGGAAAATGCACCAGGTATATCCCTTTGCACATTGCCACAAATCCCAGGGGTGCACACACCCTGTTCTAGAAAACAATCCTAAAATAACAGAAATGTGAAATGGAAAGGACCTTGGAGACTTTATCTCCCAACCTCTCTTTCTCGTCATTAAACAAGCAGTCTTTCAGCTTTGTTTATACACCTTTAATGATGGGTTCTTAGTAGTTTTTGAGTCAGCTTATTCTACTGTTGAACACCTCTAATTGTTAAAAAGTTCTGCTTTAGATGCTCCAAAATCTGACCCCAGTTTTGACCATAACAGCACCTGAAATATTTGAAGATAGCTTTCATGTACTCTCAAAGTCTTCTCTTATCTGGTCTAAATACCCCATGTCCTTCAGCCATTCCTCATGGCAGGGTTTCCAGACAGATTCCTCATGAGACTATGAGGCTCTCTGCTTCGCCAGGGTCTGTCTTACAACGTGGCACTTGGAAGCACATCTAACTCATCAGCTGAAGTCTAGCCAAAAGGAAGATTACTTCCCCAAGTGGAACTCTACTCTTCTAGGAACAAAATCCAAGATGCTGTTATCTTTCCTAGCAACCCCATCCCTACTCATAGTGTCACAAGGTTTATTCATAGTGAGCCTGTAGTCAACTCAAGTTTACTTTTCACATGGATTACTATCCATACCATTCTACAACTGTTTCTTTTTAATTTTCATGCAAGATTTAATGTTTCTTCCTATTAAATTTAGTTGTTCCTGATTATATTTTCATCCCAAGCTCCCACAATCAATGGACGTTACCCAATCCCAAGTTGATGGACTCATGTTCTGATCTCAAGACTTCAGCTTCATATTCAGAAATGTCCACTTTACCCTTCTACCTCTATGGCTGACTGACCATATCAGCTTAGGAAATTAGTGTTAACTCTTTATGGCTAGGGTCTCCACTCCAAAAAAAAAAAAAATCTATTATACTAGCTTCATATTTGATATAGTTCTTTTACCTCTTAGAAATCCAAACTGAAGGAATCACAGGGGGATGTGTGACTGTTTCAGAAAGAATTTGAAAGAGTTGCAAAAGGAAAAAAAATGAGTTGCATAGCTTCCAATTCAAGTGGCTTGGAAGTGATGAGCTGATAAAAATCAAACCAGGCTTGAAGTGGAAAGGGAAAATACTCTAGACAATAATAAGTGTTAAGACTGTAAAGGCTGCTGGCTCACCTACCTCCTGAGTGAGCTAAAAATAAATATATTTCCCCAAGGGGTGGCTGGGATCTGCAGCAGTCCAAGGAATTAAGAGTTTGGGTTTGGTCCTTTTGGATCCCTAGCAGCAATCCACAGCAGCCTCAATAGATTGGAGAGATGCCTCTCTGATTCCTCCCCAGAGCTAAAGTTGGAATAGTGAAGATCTATAACTATCTCTCTCCCTCAAAACCTAGTCTGGCACAAGAACACTTTAAACTTTCCTCTGTGATGTACAGCAAAATTCCCTGACTGGTCCTCTAGATCCTTTTCAAGTACTAAAATGAGTGAGCATACTGTCTCACAGTTCTACCAAGCTCTCCAAAGGGCAGGAAGGAGCCAGACCTCAACACTAGACCTGTCACTGCAGGCAGTAGGCAGGAGAGGAATAGAAGTGATAGAAATCCTTTGGGAAATCCTTTGAAATGCTTTTCTAGGTAAATGCTTTCATTTCTATCACTGGCAGCAAGAGTGGACCTCTTGGGCTAGAAATCCATGACCAAGAAACTAAACCCATTCCCTGTTCTTGATAAGTGAGGAGATGTCCCTGAACATAACCAAAATTTGAAAGGAAGGTTAGAAACCAGTTGATACTGATTATGAACAATGTCGTCTTTACTAGGGAAAAAAATCCCTCAGTGTAAAAACGAATCAAATGAAAGGGAGAGTACTTTCTCTTGGAAAAAGGAAAAGGAAGGAGGAAATAATGTAAATAAAGGAGGTATAAATGTTTGCAATCTTTGCTAAGACTAGAAAAAATGGGCAATACACTGTGATAAGATTTCAGTCAAATGTGAGTGGTGATCTCAACTCTTAACCAGAACTCTCAAGTTAGTCATCAGCCACTTTCCAGAAAATGGAAACCCATCAATATGAACATTATATGGCTAAAAAACATCCCCATCGTTATCAGAAAGATGTTTTGGGGCACAGATTTGATCCCAAGGACTGTGGCCACCCTGGAACAGGGTTTCTCATCAGAACTATTGACATTTAAGGCCAGATAACTGTAGGGGGCTCTCCTGTACACTGTAGGATGTTTAGCGAGGCTCCCAGGGCTTAAAGCCACACCAAGGTTCCAGTCAGAACTGGTTCAGATCCATAGATTCCCTGCCAAGAGCTCTTAGACTCACTAGAATCCTCCAACTTTTATTATTGAGCTTAGTGTCTAGTGGCCCTCTGCATCTTTGGGGTTTGGGACCACCGCAGGACATCCTGAGCTTTCTGCCTAAGGGTCCCCTTGCGGCTTGCCCTGAACCCTGGTAATTTGCAAGCAGTTTCCAGTGCTATCTTTCCCTGGTCAAAGTGCTCAATCCCTTAAAGGTCTTCCTTTCAGAAATATTAAATCCTCTTAAATGGAAGTTATCATTCTCTGGAAAAGTCTAAAAAAAGTTCCTCTGATAGCAGGGGGACGGCCCATCCCCATAGCTATGGAACTATCTCCTCCTTGCCCCTCCCACTCCAGTAAGATTCAAGACACCTTTCATTCAATATGAGAAGTTTAAAATCAACCCAAGCTTCACTCTTATCTTTCTAGACTGAAGAAAAATTCATAGAAATTAAGCTCACTTACAGAAAGTACCAGGTCCCGCTTGCGCCTGGAGTTCTTTTGCCCGCTCCCTCTGGTCCTGCATGGGGAAGCAGTAAACCCTAGAGAATGTCTCAGCTCCTCAGTTCCCCCAGGGCCTGACTCTTCCAAGGCACCTTCCAGGGCAGCAGCAGCACTGAGCATGTCTTCTGGGCGGGGCGGTGGCAGTTTGGTTCCATTTTCTGGCCCTGTCTCTGAGGTTGCCCGCTGGATAGCCAGTTGCGTGGCTGGTGAGAGTTGTTTGGCATAAGCAGGGACCAGCACCCGCTGTACTGCACCCTCAGAGGCCACATAATCATCCACCAGCTAAGAACATAAAAAAAGAATAGCCTATTAGCCAGTCAGGCTTAGGGGAACCTGGTCAACCATTAACCTTTGGCCACGGATAATGAACAGAATGGGAAGCAGCCATTCAGCGGGGAATCTAGCACAGTCTTTAATGTCAGTGGCTTGTTTCTCTGGGACTCCTATGAGAGTGTTGGGCAAGTATTTCTGTGTGTACAGGGCCGCTCATGTTGGGTTGTTTCCACAGGACTGATTACAAGGGAAAGGCATGTCTCTGATGCTCTATTTGTGAGGGGTCGTTTATATGATTTGCTCTTGGGTATAAGAACTATAGCTAGGTAAGTGTTTTGTCTAAAAGAGATTGGGGGAAGAAGTGATGATAAGAAAGGAAAACCAAGTAAGAGGAGGAGGAAGAAAATAAAATGGTAACAAGAAGAGGAGAAATCAAAGAAAAATGGGGACAAAGGAGGGAGATACACAGTCAGAAATCTCTAGAGAGGCTGGCACTGACTCCCTCCCAACCCCATTCCCTTTGTGGGGATAGTCTGTGCCCTCACCTTGATCCTGCCCTGGCCTCATCCAACTGTCACTGCCCTGACATCTACTTGCCAGCCTTTGCCCTCGCTCAAGGACATACAGGGCAGGGAAAGGAAGGAGGGAGGAAGGGAGAGAGAGGAAAGAAGAAAGGAGGGGGGATTTCTGCAGCCAAGAAAACAAAACAGTGAAAGTGGGGGGGAAAAAAAACACAGAAGGAAGCGGGGGAGGAGGCTGAGATTTACAGACCTGTGAGCTGCTTTCTGCGCTGGGAAATCTAATTCCATCCTGTCGGCTTGGAAGCCTTCCCTGACTGAAAGAACCACAGCTCAGGGCATTGCCTGGCCTAGTACCCTCCTGCCTCCTCTCACCTTCCCAATTTCTCCTCCCACAGCTCCAAACCACTGATAGTCCTGGCCAGGCACAGACTGGGGAGAGCAACAGTGGCCATCACTCACCCACATGTGCTAGGCTTTCATGGAGCAGTGACCACTGACAGTGTGACACTGGAAGAGAGGGCAGGGAAGTTCATATATTTCTTTCTCAGATCCAGCAGATGGGCTGGGAGTTGCAACCTCCATCTACCTTGTGTGTTCTGCTCCTCTACTCTTTACTGGGTGTCTGGGCCTTGTCATGGGGGGAGGAGGAAAAGGGAGAGGGCAGAGGAAGAACCTGGTGGAGAAGAATTAACTTTCCACTGTCTCTTAAGTGGCAACACATCTGTTATTTTCTCATCTCTACTACGATCTCTATGGTTGCTCCATCTCCTTTTCATACTTCCATGTGTGACATTCTGCAGTTTCTACTCTACTCAGCCAGGATTTGCCTGCTCATATGGCCCTGAGTAATAAAGAAACTGAAATAACACAGCGTACTTCTATGTCTTTTCTTGCTCACAAATACGCTTGCTTGCCTCCCTCTTTCTCTTTACATGTTATTCTCCTCCTGTTAACTCTCAGTTGTCCATTTCTTTTCCTCATTTTATCTCCTTTCCTCTACCTTCCTCTCACCTTCATATTCTCATATTCTCTCTCGTGCAGAGATTTATTCTTTTTCCATTTAGATTCACCTTTCTTCTATTCTCCATTTTTGTTTTTCCCCTTCCTCAACCCTTCATTTCCACCTGCTTCTTTCCCTCCTTACCCTGTCTTCTATTATCTTTCTTCTTTCTCTCTTAGTTTTTCCTTCTCTCTCTCTCCACCTCTGCCTCTCTCCACTCTCATTCCCATCTCTCTGTACTGAATTCCTCTTGGCAAGCAGAGGGCCCGTGATAAAATATGAATGAGCCGTCTGTGCATGGCAGGCATTCTCACTAGGAGAAGAGAGCACATGGAGCAGCTGAGACAGCGGTGAAAGAGAAGGTGCCACCCATCTACCGAGAGAGAAGGCAGGGCACCCCCATAACCACACACACCAGGAATGACCTCTTGTCAAAGAGGCTATGGTTCAGGAAGAAAATAGGAGTGCTGACTATCCCTGAAGGCAAAAGAAACTCGGTACTGTTCTGTTTCATCACAAATAAACCCAAAAGGAATGTTTAAGGATGGGGTAAAAAATAGAGAAAGAGAAAAAAGAGAAAGGCCAGGAAAAACACTAAGGAGCAACAACACTTGTATGTGCTCTACAGCCATACTCACAGGATTGAGCATCGGGGTCCCCTCGCTGGCAGGCAGGGCACAGCCCGGGAGCCGCATGTCTCTCTGAGAGGCTGGGAAGCCTAAAGGCCCAGGCCCCATAGCGGAGGCTGCTCCCAGCTGCCGTAGCTCCTCGATCACCACCTGCACGCCACTGCCCACGCTGTCACACTCCTCTTCCGCAGCAGACACAGCCTTGCAGGCTTCCCCGGGACTCTCCTTGAGAGGCCCTGGCTCCTCTGGTGAGGAACCATGTGCCCGGCTATCCCCATCTTCATCAGGGGTGGACATTTGTCCTTGCCTCAGCTCACCCACTTCCTCCTGGAGACGTTTTAACAATTCATTGTTGGCCCTGGCAAGACCCAGAGCAGCCTCAGCCAGACCCACTGCCTTATCCACTCGCTGGTAGATAATATGCAGGAGCTGCTCTGAACTCTGAACCGCCAGGCCATGTCCGGTCACTGTGATAGGGGTGCTGGGAGGAGGATTCCCACCCTGAGAGCCTGTGCTGACCCCACTAGTCTCACTCTTACAGGCACAGCAGCAGCATCTGGCTTCGCTGCCACTGGGAGGGGAGAAGAGAATGGTGGCACTGAATGACATGGCTGACAGAAGCAACAATAACCACGCTCACACTGCTGGACTGCTCCAAAAAGTGCCCCCAGTCGAATGGATTTCACAAGTTTGGCAGGAAGCACTGGCCTCTTTGGATTCACTTTTCTTTCCCATGGAGGATAATCAGAGGAGGCTGGGCACCAGGTGGTGTGTTTTGTGAAAGAGTAGGCAAGCCATGAAGGAGCACACAGTCCATGGCTGCCTCTCCTTGGCCTGCAGAGGAGAGATAGATGCCTTCTTCTGTCTGCAGATCCTGTGCTCCCCTAGGACAACACACTGAGTGTCACTCACATTCACCCCTTACTGAAAGGGTGGTGCCTACAAAGGCCTTCTTGATGAATACAGTTTCAGAGGGTAGAAAACATTCTTCCTGCACTCAAGCCTGGAATCCCCCACCACTCCAACCTAAGGAACTGAGATGAGACTCAAAAAGGCCCGCCAGGATCTGGAAAGATTAGAAGATTAAGGAATAAAATGTAGATGTGTCTTCTCCTCCTCCCTATCTTTGCTGTAATAACAAGTTGCATTTTATTGCTCTGACATCATTCCATAAGGCCTTCGGAACACTTCATGGAGGTTATCTCATCCATAGGGACAGCTCTAGGAAACATTACACCAGGTCCAGAGAAAAGACATGCAGATAAGTTATATATCTTTTTCAAGGTCAGAAGAAGACAGCGGAATCAAGTTATCTATTTTCAATCTAGTGTTGATTTTTCTGAACTCATGCCACTTTTATTAACATAAAGAATCATGATTCTATCCTCTCTATAATTTTCACACAGATTCATTCAGAGTGAGACTCCTAAATAAGAAATAAGCATCACTGCAGCCGTCAACATGTCACTGACCTTAGACAATTATATTATTAATGTTTTTGGTGATTGGGTAGGGAAATGAAAGGAAAAGCAGGATCAGAGAATTGAGTTGCAGTAACCTAGGGCTGCACACCTGGGCCTCCACCTCTGCAAAGGGAACTAGTGGTTCTGAATCCTCTAACCCATAGCACAGAAAGATCACCTCTGGGGCCTCTCATCTCCACTTCTCAAGCTCCTTCAGGGAGAGGCAAAGCTCAACAGGAATGACTAAATAGCTAAGTGCTGCCACTTTGCCCACATGACCTGGAGAAACCAGAATATCAATGATAAACCAAACTGCCTATCTTTTGAATCACTGTAGTTAAGCAACTAAACTACTCTAGAAGAGAAAAGAAAAAAAAAAAGTGTGGGAGGGTTGATTTGTACCACTGAGAACACTCCAAGGAACTTCATGCTGTCATTTTCTAAATGATACTTGATTATAGAAAAAAGAATCCTTCTGCCTGAAGCTCCCTAAGTGACAAAATCTCAAGTATGTTTACAATTTCTTCAAGAGATACATTTCTATCTTACTCTGTAAATTATAACATCACAATTAAAAGGAGAGAAGGAGGTGAAGAAAAATTTCTATATATTGAGATTTGGGGACTTTTTTTGAATCAGCAATCTCATTTCAGAAACAGGCAATATCAATGCCTCTGAGATACTAAAATGTAGATCTGACAATGCACTTTCATTACATTTGGTTATTAAAGAATAGTCTTTAATTTGCTCTTTCTACCCTTTATATTGAGGAACGCTTTTTGTGTGTGTGTGTGTGCCAGACATTCACTTCTTGCAAGAATTTAACTCAAATCCATTTATAGCTTCTCTGTCATTAAAGTCACTGGAAGGCACAACTAAACCTAAAACTAAAGGTTAAAGCCAAATTAAAACTAAAGGTTAAAGGAAAGCACTAAGCAATTCCTATGTCAATTTATGGATGATTCATTCATATATCCTTTTCCTTCCTTATAAGGGCCTACATTTGCTCCTGCAGGGTTTTAAATTTTTTAACCAACATCATGCAAGAAGTTTAATCTGAAACATGGGTGTTATGAGAAAAAGAAAGTTATGGAAACAATAATATACAAATGCTTGCCAGTTGGGTCCAGTATTTGTAAAATGAGAAAGTACGATGCCTCATGTTGGGACACTGGGTGGGGCCATTTTCTGGTACCAAACTGATGACTGATATATTTACTCTTGCCTCCAAAACTTCCTCTTCCTTGCAAGATGCCTTTACTCATGCCTGCATGCTGCCTGCCTCCAACCCTTCCCTCCCCCTTAAACAGTCTTTCCTAGGTAGGTCATCTTTCCAAAACAGCACTGAAATTGGAAGTGAAAAAAAAAGGGGTGGGGTGGGGAATCTCATCCTGTTGCACCGCTTAAGAGCTGTGTGAACCTGGGCAAATTATTCATTTCTCTGAGCCTCAGTGTTCTCATTTCTGCCTACTTTGAGTGATTTTGTTAAGATTATATGTAATACGTGTAAGACATCTAGAGCACTGGCACACGGTTAGTGCTCCACAACCGCAGCTGGACAATATTACGATTATTCCTGACACCCTTGTGTTCCCACCCTGGACACCCGTCCTGATTTCCTAATCTTTAAAAAAATGCAGTAATTAGAAATGGAATTTGGGGGATTTCCCCTTAAATTTAGTACCCAATTATTAAGTAACAATGAATTCAAGTCTACAAAGATGCATTTATAGGAACGAAACCTTCTATGATGCAAATTAGAAAGATAATTAAGAAAACACAGTATTTGCCATTTATTTACTATCATAACTTGGCTTTAGACTAAGAATATTCAACTCTGCTAGTTTTTAATGCTAAATATAAAATCCTATTGTGAATTTTCTTTGTTCCTCAATTTCTTTCTGCTTTTCCACTTTGTGTATTAACATACTAAGCTCATTTTAGAATGTTACATTCAGGGCAACAAATAGGTGTTTTCTTGAATTAAGTACAGTGTACTATATAGCACAATGGGAATTCAAATAACTCTTTTTTTTGGTTTCATAAATATTATTGTTGACTTAATTTCTCTGTCTCCTGCTACAGTCACCCACATAAACTCTAAGACATTGAAATGAAAGGACAAGGAAAGAAACTGGGCAGCAGGTAATAAAGGAATATTTCATATTATATTATAATATTTACTAATGAGATAACTTAAATGCTGGATAGTGATTAAAAACTAAACAAAATACTAATTTCATTTGCTACATATATTCCCATTATAGAATGTGAACAAGTTAAAAAAAAAAAAAAGATGTTTCTAGAAATTCTGTATATGTAATGCCATGCTAAAGGATGAGTCACCAAAATGGACTGTCACCTCTAAGTACTCAAAGGAAGAAAAGACAAAGTCCCCATATGCCAGGAGCTTACAATGTATGTGAGAATGAAAATGTATAAAGAACAAAGCAAAATATACACAAGTGCCTGAAAATATGGGACAGACTAAAAATTTCTTGAGGAGTTAGTTCAAAATAAGAAAAGATCAACACAATAAAATCTTATGGGAAAGGGGTCTTATGAAAGAAAATCCTCCAACTGAGCCTTGAGCAATGTGTAGGATGAACTAACTGGTAGGGTGGCAAGATGACATGAAAGATGAAATGAAAAATAAACATTACAGGAATTAACGGTATCTGTGAGGTCAGAGCGAAGGGGCTTATACAGAAAGGAAAGCTGAGAGAGGACTTTTAAAACCAAGTTAAGGAAACTCCTAGAGCAGGGGTCAGCAAACCTTTTTTTGTAAAGGACCAGATAATATACAATTTAGTTTTTGCAGGCCATATGATTTCTGTCATAACTATTCAACTCTGCCCCTATAGCACAAAGCAACCATGGACAATACGTAAACAAATGAGCATGGCTGTTCCAATAAAACTTTATTTACAGACACGAAAATATCACAAAATATTACATTTAATATTTACCTTAAAAAATATAAAAATCATTCTTAGCTCCAGGTCACTCAAAAACAGGTGGCAGGCCAGATTTAGCCTCTGGGCCGTAGTTTGCTGACCTCTGTTTTAGAGACCTAAAGGTAGAACAATTAAGGGATTAGGAGACTGTTTAAGTCATCTAGGAGTGAGTTGATGAGAATGAGGGTTGTGAATATAAAGGTTCAATATCCTGGAGGAAGAACTGATAGTGTATTTCTTTACTTAATAAATATTGGGGATAGAGATATTGGTTAAAAACAACTTCAAGATTATAAACTAGAAGATAGGTCAGGAGATGGTACCACTGACATAATGATAGAAATGAAGTAGTTGAGATTAAGCACTAGCTTGTTAAAAAAGATGTATATTTACGTAATATGTTAAATTTTAACTGATGGCAACATCTTTAAATGGAATGTGCTGAAAAAACTGACTAGGACTGAAAAACAAAACCAAAAGGAAGGTCGGAGCTGGAATGTAGAGTTGGAATTTTTAGTAGGAGGGTTGTAGTTGACCCTGAGAATGAATGAGTTCACCAAGGGGTAAATATAAAGTGCAAAATGCAAAGGCAAAGGACAGCACTTCAAGCCAATCCATGGAAGAGGCTTCATTAAAAGAGAAGAATGGTCAGTGAGGTGGGAGAAAAACAGTGTTATAAAAGCCAAAGGAGAGAGAATGTCAAGAAAGTGGATCTAATCAACAGTGACAAGTGTAGCAGAATGGTTAAAAAGATGAAAAATTTTTTTTCTGTGATGGTCATTGGCCCAGAGTGGTATTTTTTTCTACTGAATGTAATACTATGCAGTAGATGAAAGAGGAATTGATGAAGAGAAAAATAGAAGATATGAAGTCAAATTTTGTTATGAAGGGAAGGAAATAGGAAAGAATTCAGAAGGGGCTCTAGAGCTTCAGTACATTTAAAATCAGAAAGAAAAAGGCTGGTGAACATAGAAAGAATGAAGATAGTTACAAAAGGATTTAAGTTTTTTTCTAACAAGGATCCTCCCAATGTGAGAAGGAAGGAAGGTGAGTTCTTCTCTGAGACTGTAGAGAAGAAAATATAAATGCAGGGGCAAAGATTCATTGAGGTGGATAAAAAAAGACAAAGTTATATACTACAGAGACAGTCTTTTTTACTTTGGAGGCAGATTTTCCTCAGTACGAATAACTCATATTGATAATAGAACTTTATTATGGGCACTGCTATATTATCTGTTGTTATAACCTGTGCAGTTCTTTTATAACACTCCAGACCTAACATATTCTTGCTTTTTTCCATCAGTAGCTTAAGGTTTTCAAGCCCATTCAACCCTGCCATAGTATTAACATGGCCAGGCTTTACTGATATCTTCTCAAAATGTAAAACTTTAATTCAATAACCCATGCAGCAATACATGGAATTTTGGCAAAGCAATGGTTAATGACAGTCAATTAACCAGGCAGTATCTATAAATTATTATTAAACATTGATACTGTCAACTTTTGTAATTTCAAATGGCTAATTTATTTTAAAACTGAGTTCATATTTTTGTTCAAGAAAAAATAGAAATGAACTAAGATTGACCACCATAGAATAATATACATGCTTCTTGCAAAATGCTATCAACTTTTAGAATTGAATGTTCAGAAAAAAAGATCTTCAATCTTATGATGAGTTACCAACACAAAACGAGAGCAGCTGTCAGACTTAAGTTTGCATAAAATATATATGTTTGGGTTTTATTTCAGTATTGGTCTAATTTTAATACAGGTGAAAGAAGCCTAGAAAATGTACTTTTTAATAATTTGATATTTTCTTCACAAATATATTTAGATTAAAAAAAGAAAGGGAAGGAAGGAAGGAAGGAAGGAAGGAAGGAAGGAAGGAAGGAAGGAAGGAAGGAAGGAAGGAAGGAAGGAAGGAAAAGAAAGAAAGAAAACTCATCTTCTTTAGACAGTTGAGGGTGAGGCTGTCCATAATCTTAACTATCCCTTTCCTCCTAAGTCACATGTATTTTTGTTAGAACTAAATATATCATACTCTTGGCAGCTCCCTGGCTTGCTTTCTGCCCATTCTGAGTTTGAATTTTCTGCATGACTGACTTTACCTCCAAACTATGAAAAATAAAAGTTCTCACTATTTAATAGACGTGTATGATGTGGTATCACTCAGATAATATATGTTTTTATAATAAGCCTTTAACTCATTCGGGGTCATGCTAGCAATGAACTTCCTTAAAAGTGATTACTGAAAGCATAGCAATCCATAACATAATCTTCGTTTTAAGAAATAAATAAGGAAAATGGCTACTTAGAACTCCTGCTGTGCTGGTGAGCCCTGCACAACCTGAAGGTGCAAAATGGTTCACCTTTTAAAAGGCATCTCGAAACCTCTATCAGAAGTGAGCTTTACCACATAAAAGCAGATAAGCAAATATCATTAAAAAAAAAATTTCCTACATTTTGAAAGGCTGACCCATCTAATGATCTGCAAAGAAAATCTAAGTCCTCATTTCTAGAGGTAAAAAAAAAATGTAGACCCGGAGGACAGAATAAGGTAGTATGAAAAGGATTCCACCTAATCACAAAAATTCCAGGGGTACTTGTGTACTGGTAAAAGAATTCTTAATCCAGTGTAGGTTAGTCTTTGTTTACATTTGCTAATATGCAACTTGGTAAAATTAAAATTTCCGGTTTAAGCTTTTCCTATAAATATGCCTAACGTTAGAAGACTTCCTGCATTTCTGGAGAAACTGAAAAATGGAAAAACTAGATCCTAGAGCCATCCATATATGTGCCCAGAAAGGCCTTGGTAAATGTTAGTTGATTAAATATTAGTCAAAGATGACAATATAGGCACCAGGGACAGCAAAATCATTTCAGAAGACAGTATGATTCAGTTACAGGCAAGGCAACCGTAGCGTCTCAGTGGGAACAGAGCTCAGGCACTGACTCCCAGGCCACCGGGCCTGAACCCAATCGTAGAGCCTTCCCTGGGAGTCCCGGGGAAAGGGATGATTCCGGAGAGGGGCCACCGCCAGCCGAGTGGACCGAGGTGCGGTCAAGGATCTCCTGGGTCACTGTGGGTAGACTATGCGGCCACGAGAGCTCTGTGGACTTGTGCGACAATCCCGCTTTGGCAGCCCTAGGGTGTTCCACCGCGTGTGCCCCGCGCCGCCGACTCAGGCGCGCGGGTGGCTGAGGGAGACCGCGGCGCCCGTCCGTGTACCTGGCTAGCGCGCGCACGCGGGGAGGCACCGCCCCGTTTATCCTCTGGGTCCCCGTGATTGGCGGTTAGACTACGGGGGGAGCAGAGTCAGGGACGCTATTGGTTACAATATGCAGTCACTCAATGAACCAGGGAGGGGAGGGGCCTCCTCAGGGAGGGATACGACTGCGAGGCTTTTTCAAGGCCGTCAAGCGCCATCTTTAACTTGTTTTGTTGTTTACTCGCTTTTGTTCTCCGCTGACTACGAAGCTGCGTGTACGAGATTATAAATACAGTGGCCACAAATCGGCTTCACACTTTTGATGGTGGAAAGCTTTTCGCTCTTGCTGGCCTTGGTTACAGATCTTTAAGGTATCAGTAACAGTGGCAGTTACCCATAGTTCAAAAAAGTTTCATTACTTGGGGCCTCATGAGTTCCCAAGCAAAGTCAACCAAGTTTAGCTTTGCTTTGCTAGGAAGGCCAAGCCAAAGATATATTCGCGGGAAGAATTCTCTTTCTTACTTAGACACTCAAAGCAAGGACACTGGATATGAGCCTAGGGTCTTAGTAAAAATTAAATAGCCTAGGAAGTCAGGGCCTTCGGCTGCGTTCCGCTCTAGGAAGAGCTCTCCTTTTTCCGAGAGCTAAAAAGTGAGGCAAAACGTGATGCAGAGATGCAGAAAAGACAAAGATATATTCGCGGGAAGAATTCTCTTTCTTACTTAGACACTCAAAGCAAGGACACTGGATATGAGTCTAGGGTCCTAGTAAAAATCAAATAGCCTAGGAAGTCAGGGCCTTCGGCTGCGTTCCGCTCTAGGAAGAGCTCTCCTTTTTCCGAGAGCTAAAAAGTGAGGCAAAACGTGATGCAGTGATGCAGAAAAGGTAAAATTCCATTAAAAATCCCCAGCATTGCCGCCATCACAAAGGCCAGTAGAATCTGACTAGATTTCAAAGATATGCAGGTCCAAATTTATGGCATGATCAACATTTCAGTTTATTAAGGACTCACTGATCTGACTTGCATTGTTGGGGAATAAAAACATTAAGTACATATAAGAAACACAGAGCCCACACAAGGCCACTTAAATGGATTTCAAGATCTGAACAAATATTTTATCACCATATTATTTAGTTGTCTCAAATACTGCTTGAAACTAGGATGCTAGGTGAATGGAAATGTATTATATGCAGTTTTAGTTGTAATGAAATTTGAACTCTACAGTAGATCCTTTTTATAATCTCCTGGTTGCTACTACACTTGTGACATTCCAGTTTCTCCCTCAGCACCCGATATACTTCAATGCTTTACTCCAATCTGTGAACACAGATTTGAATATAAATATTTTCTCTATGACTCCTAATAGACAGCGGTTCTGTAACAAGGAATTGGGATATAGCTCACATAACTGGAGGCTCTGCTCTAAGCTTGCCCTCTACTAATTTATATACTTTTCTCTGTAACTCTTAGACATGAGCAGAAGGCTTTTCAGTCCAAAAATGCAGCATAACAAAATGCATTTCTCATCCCTCCAATTTATTATTTGCCTTTGCCTCCTCCAGCCCTCCGTCTCACCACTGACCACCATTAAGTTTTTGAGAATTGGATTTGACTGGGTTATTTTCCTGATACTTTGCCAGCTGTGGAGCTTTTCAAACAAATCCCAACCTATAAACGACAATTTTGTCAAAAAGCCAAGAAAGAATGTCCCTTCTTGAACAGAACAACCAAACCACACATAAAGACCAAAATATACACAGCTGTACATTTAAGAATGGGAGACAATAAAAAGCAAAACCACTTAGGCGAAACAGTCACTAAAAAAGGCTTTGAACCAGATTCAATAAATTGCCTACCCTCATTTGCCACATGGACTGTATACTCCCTGGCAATTATTCACCAATCTGATCCTTTAGAAGGAGACCAGAAAAATAGAGTAGATGCACACAGAATGAAAGTGCCTGAGTATGTTAAGCATAGGATTTCTTATAAACCCGAATTTGCACACAAAACCCTGTTTTGATCACATTTGGGAACACAACAGAAATAAATTCACATCCTGGGGGCTACTGAGCACACATAAAACCAAAGGCAATCACTTTTAAAACAAAATCTAATATGGCACATATACACACACTGTACATATACACAAAGCACAAAACCCCAAGATAAATCTTTACAAAATTATTTGGCTCATGAAACACACACACTGTCCTCATGAAAATGTAAGACGCACTGTAAAAAGGTCTTTGACCCTCCCTCCCCAGGGAAATGAGTGTCACAATTATAATATCTAAACATTTTTAACCTATTGGCCTTGGACAATTGCCACATTCAAGCCACTTGGTTTTGATTCTGGGTGAGGGTGTGTAAAACGCACGCAAACAGCTTTGTGAGGGAGTCTTAAATCTCCGCTTCCTTCGACGGTGCCAGTGGCAGAAATTTACATTATCCCTTCAGCCCGCTTAAAAAAAGGAAATCTATACTTCCCAAGCGGCTAGAATTTTTAAATCCCTCAACCATAAAAATTTCCCAGTTCTTAAAATGTGATAGCAAAAAGAAAAAAATCTCTATAAATTTGTCTGGAAACAGTTGTACACGGCCATCCTGCTTCTCAACTTCTTGGTATATTTAAACCTTGACCAGGAAAAAGAAAGAGGAAGAGAGACAGAAAAAGAAATGGGGAAAAGCGCAAATTCCCCTTAGCAACAGTTTCCTCACCCCAGCACTGCCACAGATCTCTATTTAAAAAAAAACTTGAACACACACACAAGATTAAGGAGGGGGAAAAAAATGGAAAAAGGATACCCGAAGGTCGTATGGCTCTTTGTATTCGTGTGTGTGCAAAAAGGAGGACTCGCGGAGCCCGAACCAGCAAGCCCCGCCCCTCCCCGGACGCCCGTCCTGATTGGCCACTGGCGGCCGCTGGGCGCCCCGCCCGGGAGCACACGCGCGGCGCCCGAGGCGCGGGCCCCGGGGGGCCCCTTGAGGGCCGCTCGACCCCCGACCCTGACCCTGTCTTGCTCGGACTCTGGTGGCCCCGCGCTCACCAATCCACTTCCCCACTTCTCTCACTTTCCTTTCGCTTTCTTACCCTTTCCCATCGTTTTTCTCCGTGCAACGAGATCCTCATCACCAGTATAATAACAATCCAGTGAGAGATCCTTCTGACAATTTGCTGAACTTAGTTAACTAGTCAGTAAAATTCTATGCTGGGATTAAGCACCAAAGACTTGGTGCGTGGGGCCGAGGTCATGATTTCCAGGTGGAATGTCTCTAGGTCACGTCTGTTGGCTTAACATTCCTACCTTTAAATGAACATTCATACAAGTATGTTCCTTCCTTTAGGTGAAAAACAAAGTAGTCTTGCACTTTGGGCCTTGTTTTTGCTTAGCCCGAGTCCACAGTTTTTCTCTATTTGGTTAAAACTACATTCTCAAGAACCTAAAATGGCTCCCCTTTACCTCCTGCGTGAAGACCTGGTTGCTTGTACCTGGATTTTTAAACCCCACATAATCTTGTCCCACAACCCCGTTTGTTCTTAGTTCCCACTGCCCTCACCTTTTCACCCCGGTATTATTCCTTTGCTCAAGTGTTCTCGGCTCCGTGCGATAAAGCCTGTCTCCCCTTCTCTAACTAGTCAGTTTTTATCCATTCTTCAGCTATTTTAGACAACACAGACCACTTCTCTGTTCTATTAGCATGAAACTTCATGCTTATTCAGGCTAGCAGCATTTTACCTTCATTATTTCTCATATTTTAGTAATTTCACACTAGTAAACTGTTTGAGATCAGAGAACATAAACTTCTTTTTCCATTCAAAACCTTTTTTTTTTTTTCTTACTGCAGCAGCTGGCATAATTGTAGACATTTAGTAAACACTGGGGGAAAAGTCATTTATAATTAAATGAGTGAAATATTTTTCTACCTAAGACACAAATTTTGAAACTCATACCTCATGAATTTGCCTTTTATAGTAACAGCTGAAGAACCTTTACTGTGCAGGGATTTTTGTGGATTCTTTATATATACTTATTTACTTATTTAATCTCCATGGTAGGGGGTGGGTACTATTACCCCCATTTTTTACATGAGATTAAAGCACAGAGAGTCATAATTTGACTAAGTTTAGACTAAGGTAATAAGAGAGAAACCTGAGATTTGAACTCAGAAAATCTAGCTCTGTAGCCCAAGTTCTTAACCACTATACTTCACTGACTCAACAGCACAGCTCTTAAAAATATTGTTACCTGATTTCATCCTCACAACATTCCACACTGCAGATGGCCTGAACACTTCCCAAATATTAATGAAATGAAGCCACACACAAAGGTAACTGTACCAAATTAAAGGATGATAAAGAGACATACCAACTAAATGAGAATTATTATCCTTGATTGAATCTGGATCAGGAAAAAAAACCTATAATAGACATTACAGGATAATTGGGCAAAATTGAATATTATAAATGAAATATATGAAATTAGATAATCTGACTGTATCAGTGTAAAATAGGCAGATTATTGGCACCTCCATTTTACAAGAGACAGAATCAGAGAGAGCTTACTACAAGTTCTCATAGCTAACAGGTGGCAGACTTGAAACCTCAAGCCAGCTGTTTTATTCAGCCCCCACATTTCAGTGCTGGCTGTCAGTCAGGCCTCCTCCACACACTTGTTGGTTCTCAAAGTCCAGGTCATTCTTGATCGGATCTGGTTCTCAGTAGAAAGGCCTGTTGCCTTTCTACTGAGTATTGTTTTCATACTAGCAGCACCCTAGCTTATGTGGCAGGCAACCCAGGCAACAGCTTTCCCTGTTACATGAAAATGAGGTGGCAGTGTTTTACATTCTTAAGGGTTATAGACTTTGTGTTTCCTATCACATGTTTTCCATTAATTTTTAAAATAATACAAGCCAGCTAGAAAATCACTAAGAAAAATATTAACTTTTGATAAGAATATACTAGGACAACTCAAATGTACAAGTGATTATTTTCAAAACTGTTAGGATGAAGGGAATACAGAATTGTTAATGATGATTATTATAATCAATATTTATTGAGGGTTTACTTGATGCTAGGAATTCTATTTTATTTAATCAATTCTATGATATAAATATTATTATACTGCCTCTTTTATTGATGAGAAAACTGAGACTAGAGAGAGAAGGTGACTTACCTCAAGGTAATTGAGCTCATTAAACAACAGAGTCAGAATTTGAATCCAGGTCTGCTGACTCTAGAACCTGTGCTCTTGAGCAGTCATTAGTCTCAGGCTAAACTGAAATCCACTCTCATGTTCTGAGTACATGAAAGACAAACTGTCTTCTCTTTGATGATCAATAGAATGTTCACAACCACCATATTTTTAATTATGAGTCTATTTCTACAAAAGTCAGAGTTAAGTTGGAAAAGCCATTTCTTTTTATTTCCCCTATGGGCACTGGGGAATCTTTGGTAGAAAGTTTGAGTCAAGCATTTTTTGTGCTGTTAGATAATGAGAATAGGGAGAAAATGCAGCTTTTTCACCTAAAAAAGTTACAGTTTTGAACTCTAAAATATTTGAGCTTTCAGATGTTAACTTTACAGATGACTTGTTGATTGAGGGAAAGCTGCTTGTTTGGCTTTGAATCAAGCAGATCTCTTTGTTTTAAGCTATTTTCTGCTCAGTGAGACCCCAAAGGAGCTTCCCCATACAAAGAAATTTAACTTCCCCTGGAGTGAGGCTAGGGAAGCTTTTTCTGACAGTCATTCATTAACATACCAGAGGGTATTTTAGAACAGCAGTGGAAGGAAATCCCAGAGGCTGTCAGGAATATGTCTTCAGAGACACTGGAGAGGGACATGTCTGAGAGAATGAGATTTGGAGAGATGAAAGAGGTTACAGAAAAGTAGAAGATAATGCAAAGGAAAAGAGAAGGAAGACAGCAGACAACCTAGAAGGGTACTCAAGGAAGAGTGAAGTCGTTTATGTTGTAGCAGAAGTGAGAACAGATTAGATTTTAAAGGAAAAAAGTTCTGAATTTGACTGATTATTAAATGCAAAAGAAATTGTATGAACAGCTGGGAAGTCTTTCTTTAAAGACCAGTAAAATACAACGAATACAAAAAAATTTAAATGCAATAATAAAAATAAAGACAGCTAAATGGAAAAAAGTTGGAGGAGAAAGACAAAGAAGAAGAAGAGGAAGATGAGAAGAAAGACTGCGAAAAATTTAATTTTATTACTTCATACTTTTATGTTAAACTAATTATTTTATCCAATCATTGGTTCTTAGGCTTTCCATTTGTTCTTATGTTTTAATATTTAAAAATTTTATATAATGTTCAATTTTGTGTTGTGTTAACTTTAAATATTTGAGATATTAAAAAAATAGGTTGCCAGTTAATATATGTAGAGGAAATGACAGAATTTGAAGAAACAACATTAGGCAACCACCAATGCAAAAATTGATTCAGGAAGAATCATCAATGGATGATAAAATCAATAGGTGCAAGTTTATGAGAGAATAAGATAAGATATGCTCATGTTCTCAAATGATCAATCTATTTATTATTAATTTACTAATTAAATAGTTACAAAGAACAAACATACAATGGAGAAACCTAGCAGGAAATTTTGTATCACCAATAATGTAATGAACTAATGTTATATGTCTCCTAATGTGGTGCAATGGGAAGTACACAGTATCGGCTAGGTAATATTCTTGCTAAAAATATTTAACCTAAATCTGATCATGAAGACAAATCTAGATTGCACACGACGAATGATGGCCTGGACTCTACAAAGTATAAATGTATTAAAAGATACACACAAATATGAGGACTAGTCCTAAATTAAAGGAAACTAAAAAGGCATGTCAATTAAATGTGATGTGTGAACCTTGATTGAATCCTGGATTAGGAAAAAAAAAGCTATAATGGACATCATTGGGACAGGTGGGGAATTTGAATATGGACTAGATATTAGATAGTATGATTACATCAATATAAAAGTTCTTGGTGTAATAATAGCCTTGTGGTTTTGTAAGATAATATCTTAGTTCTTAGGAGACACATTTAGGGGTAAAATGTCATGATCTTTGTAACTTTCATATGATTCAGTAAAATAAATATTAATAAACATATATACATATAGAGATAAAGCAAATGTGGCAAAATAATAATTAATGAACCTATGTGAAGGGTATATGGGTATTTGTTGTGCTGTTTTTTCAACTTTTCTAAAGTTTTGAAACATTTCAAAAATTTAAAAAATAAATAACATTTTTGCTTTAGATGCTTAGATTCAGCCCTTTCTTGAGGCAAGGGAACAGTCTCAGGGACTTTGGGATTCTGATTTTAGGACTCCATTATAATGCTTCAGAAAATTCCAAAATGTGTGTTAATAAACACCACTTAGGATGTCAAAGCATTTTTTTAACAGGTGGAAGAAAAAACAAGTGGCAACAATTCTAGATTATAAAGGAAACCAAACCCAAAGAAAAGTGGCTTTTCTCTGTTTTAGAGTGAGGGGCTTGGTCATACAACTTCCTCTCTTTCACCATGAACAATTTTAGTCCTTCTCTTGTAAAGAGCAACTTACTCATGTGCCTGACGTCAAAGACCAGGTTCTTGGTTATCAGCCAAGACTCCATCCATGGATCTTAGAAAAAACCAAACCAAACAAAATATACTAAGGGAGATAACCTACAGAGCTATACCTGGAGCCCAATCTTTAGGGGCTGACCATATTTTATGTGAGACTAATCCTGTCATTTGAAGAAAAAATAGCAGGATTGCAGAATCTGGGTAAAGTGGGAATGGGCAGGACCGATTCTCAAAACTCTTTATGACTCCTAGTCGTCCTTATAAGCAGAGGTGGCATA